TTATTTATATTCTGACTATTATCCTTATCTTTGTTGTTATCACAATAAAAACTAGACAAGATATCTGTAGATATACTCCTCCCTGTAAAGATTAAATGAAGGGTTCAGTTGGGAATTATTTGTAGGTTACTTTGATCATGACTTTCTACTTCCTGGATAATATCTTTAAAATAATTTAACAAATGGTTTAGTGATACGAGTCTTGCTAATTAGCCCATAGCTGCGAGGAAGAAGAGCTGGATTCATGTCTTTCCAAAGAGGATTTACACATAATATGAATATAACAAACCCAACTAGAATTAGAACTCCACTCTCTAATTAACAATTCCAGGCTCAATGTTGCTTAACTTCATTGACCATATGGGAACTGGTGTTTTAGTAAGATGTGGCTAGATGCTACAGCTGAATAGTACTGATCATATATATATATATATAGTCATCCACAGACAGACTATTTCGGTGTATCGCAGCTCTTCAATGTGGCTAGATGTCCAATTTTCTCAAGCCAGGATCGAAAAACGACCAATTTGGCATCAGTCAAAGACCCTACCCCTAGGCTATTGTTGAACGGCAGAGAGAAAGGGAAATTTTAATGTTTTCTATATGAAATACTCCAGTGGCCCGGAGAGCTCAATTCAGTTGAAGAGCGATGCACTAATAGCAGTTGGAGCCAGTGTTTTTAAAATTACCCTTTTCTCAAGAGAGCTCAACCAGATTTCCTGTGTGTGTGTGTATGTATGTGTGTATATATATATATATATATATATATATATATATAATAGTGAATGATGAACTATTCTGTTTTGATCAGATGGAAAGAAGGGAAAATACGCGACTTTGTTTCAGTGAGAAAATGAAAGAAGAGAAGTGTTTACTGGCTGTTTCAGTGAAATGGAAAAAATTGTCAATTTCAAATCATTTGTATCCACTTCTTAAAATAATTACCAGCATTCATATTTATGATTGCTATTGCAGTATTTTATGCTCAAATAATTTACAGTTCAATAGGGGAATTTCAACGGATATTTTATTGTAGAATTCACCACGAGCTTACGCAATCATTAACTTAAGAGTTAAGATTCATGAGAATATTAAAATAGGAAAACTATGAAATCTTCACAGGTTAAAACTAGTTGAAGTATTAACATCTGTCCTGATTCCGGTTTGTTAATTGAATATTGATTACCCTGACATGATGGATGGGTGCTGTAACATTACAGACATTAGAATTTGTGTGCCAAGTTCAAGTTCCAGTCGAGGTGGTTACGTTCACTTTTGCACAAATACTTTTGGGAAAGGTATTAATCTATCTCTTCTCCCACTAGTTACTGGTTAAATAGCAGGGTAGACTGGGCTCTGAAGCCTTGGTTGGCAACCACTACTATGAGAAGTGCAATTCTGAGTTCGAAACCAACTTGAAGAGCAATGCGCTCTGTTGGGTTGTCTTGCTGTAGGCACATCCAACTGTGGTGGCCCAGTGACATGACAGTGCCTTGATATATTTGTTTAGTCTTATACTAATGTCCTTGAGAAAGATATGAAACCACTTTTCGCTACATTCATTGCAAATTTGGAGGCTAGGATGGTGGATAAATGAGATCTTAGATGCATCACTCACTCATTAAAGCAGTAGCAGTAAAAAAGCTGTTACTATCATAGTCAACCTTGGCAGAGTTCAAACATCTACAAGCCTTTGCCACAAATATATTTCTTCTCTGGACTAAGGAAATATCTAGAATCTATTAAGAAATGGGAGCCAGTTTATAAAGTGTGCACAATACAAAATTGAGCCCCCCTCCCACAATTTACACCTTCATTATAATATTCTTGTTAGCTAATGAAATACCAATGACAATAAAAGATCTATTTCAAAGTCAGCTTAACTCTTGAATTTGTCTCAGGAAGGGCAAGGCTCAAATGCGATTCATTTTTATTTATCTAAATAAATGTTTATGTTGTCTCCCTCCCCTACTCCTATTTCTTAGTCTATCAAATATTTATTTCTGATTCCAGGAGCCAACATCAGGACTTGATTCTTCAATGGCTTTTAAATTGATGCTGAACCTTCAGCAGTTTGTTAAAGATTCTAATAAAATTGTCATTGCCACAATTCATCAGCCATCCAGCAAAATATTCCATATGTTTCACAGTTTATTAATCCTTGCAGAAGGAAAAGTAAGTCGTTTCTTATCATATGTAAATTTTTTTGTTTTATTGCCTCTTTCACTCTTACTGCTCTGATAGCCTTTCTATTTTACTATTGCACTCTCTCTCACAGACTCTCTCTCTATCTGACTATTTCTCTAGCGCTCTCTCTCTCTCTCTCTCTCTGACTATTTCTCTAGCTCTCTCTCTCTCTCTCTGACTATTTCTCTAGCTCTCTCTCTCTCTCTCTCTGACTATTTCTCTAGCCTCTTCTCTCTGACTATTTCTCTCTCTCTCTCTGACTATTTCTCTAGCTCTCTCTCTCTCTGACTATTTCTCTAGCTCTCTCTCTCTCTGACTATTTCTCTAGCTCTCTCTCTCTCTCTGACTATTTCTCTAGCTCTCTCTCTCTCTCTGACTATTTCTCTAGCTCTCTCTCTCTCTGACTATTTCTCTAGCTCTCTCTCTCTCCCTCTCTGACTCTTTCTCTTGCTTGCGCTCTCCCTCTCTGACTCTTTCTCTTGCTTGCGCTCTCCCTCTCTGACTCTTTCTCTTGCTTGCGCTCGCTCTCTCTCTCTGACTCTTTCTCTTGCTTGCGCGCGCTCTCTCTCTCAGCTCTTTCTCTTGCTTGGCGCTCTCTCTCTCTCTGACTCTTTCTCTTGCTTTGCGCTCTCTCTCTCTGACTCTTTCTCTTGCCTTGGCGCTCTCTCTCTGACTCTTTCTCTTGCTTGCGCGCGCTCTCTCTCTCTGACTCTTTCTCTTGCTTGCGCGTCTCTCTCTCTCTGACTCTTTCTCTTGCTTGCGCTCTCTCTCTCTCTCTGACTCTTTCTCGCGCGCTCTCTCTCTCTGACTCTTTTTCTGGCGCTCTCTCTCTGACTCTTTCTCGCTCTCTCTCTCTCTCTGACTCTTTCTCGTTCTCTCTCTCTCTCTGACTCTTTCTCGCGCGCTCTCTCTCTCTGACTCTTTCTCTTGCTTGCGCGCTCTCTCTCTCTCTGACTCTTTCTCTCGCTCGCTCGCACTCTCTGAGTTTCTCTCTTAAAATTTTTTCAACTTACAGATGAACACAACAATTTTGTCTTAGAAAAAAAGCAACACCCTTATGATGACATTGTGCTAATGTCGAATGAACTCAGAATAAATGAATATGTATCAACATGGTAATTTTCTCTCTTCCTTTAATAAGGATACTAAGAAGCTTGTCTGTGAATATGAAAGGATCCTATTGAAATCAAGTAGACAAAACTTGTACTTTGCTACTTTAAATCTGTAAGTCTAAATTATTCAATGAGACAAACCATATATATATATATATATATATATATATATATATATATATATATATATATATATATATATGTGTGTGTGTGTCAACAGTATGCAATGTCAATATCAAGGGAGGTAAATCTTGATGGTTGTTGTTTCAGGTTGTCTTTCATGGAGAAGCAAGCCGTTGCCTCGATGTTTTTGAAACTTATGGACTTTATTGTGCTGAACATTACAATCCAGCAGACTTCATCTGTAAGTTTATAAACATTTTTTGTTCTTTTATTTTATCTATTTTTCTTAATAGTTACAGATGAGGACAAGTAACACACACAAACATTTTCTTAGTAAAAAAAAAAAAAAAAATTATAAAATCTTTGTGTGGTGGGGAAACTCCCCTGATCAGAAAAGTGTCCCTGTGCAGCATATGTAGAGGTGCTGTTTGCTGAAGTGAAGTGCGTTTCCAGGAGATATGGCAAGAACGTTGACTACTGACAAAAAACAGACCATTTACAAGAGCTTGGACTACTGCGGACAAATTTCACTATACTCTGTCACTAAAACAAAGTTGATATTAGGAAAATTGATAACAAAGTGGAAAAATTTTCACATGTGACTTATCTCGTCCTTTAGGATTTCATTGGACTAAAGTGATGTACATGTGCATGTGACTACACATCCACACAAGGAAGAGGGGATGCTGAAATTATATATAGTATATAGTCTATCCAATTTCATTTAGTTTCTTTTTGTTTGTTTTTGCACTTACATTATTTATATATATATATATATATATATATATATATATATATATATATATATATGTAACAGATATAGATATAGAACAGTAAGATTTATAATCTGGTGTTCTTAGCAATTATTTTTATTTAAAAAAAAAACAGTGCTTGATACAAACAGTAGAGCAAATGAATGGTACTTTAAATCTGTAAGGATAAAATTTAAATATTAAAAATATGACTTACACATATTTAAATGACCATTTTAGATAATCTTTGTGTATAAAAATATGAATTAAGCATCTAAATAAAAATGCCAAATTTATTTTTTTATTTTTTTTTTATTTTTTTATTTTTTTTTTTTTTGCCATTGAAAACCCAGACAACTTTCTGAATAACAGAAGCCTACTTTTGTTAGCAGGCACCCCCCACCCCACCTAAACTTAATCTGACTTTGTAATTAACATATATTGGATACATAAGCTCCCTAGGGAAATTAAAACCCAACCGCCCTTAAATTAAAATAGATTGAATTTTCTTTAACCTTAACAACTCATAATATTAATATTGTCTGTGCTTATAAATTAAATAAATTTCTTAGAAAGTTTCCTAGCATCACTTGACAATGGAATGAGATTATGGATTTTAAGTTTAATTTCTATAATTGAATTTATAAATTTAGCTTCAGTTTTGAAACTTGGAAATTTTCTGTGTCATGATGGAATCATATTTTTAAAAAGAAAATAATTATATATATATATATATATATATATATATATATAACATTGTTATAATAGAAGATCTGCCAAGAAAGGGGAAATGTAAGAACCTGGACACAAATTTACTGTTGATGATCTTTCTATACATTGCTTTCTCTTTTAATTAAACTAGTTTTTTTTTTTTTTTTTTAAATCAAAACTGCTCACTCTCATTACAGTGTGCAACTAATGCATGTTGTGTGTTGTTTGATAAGATACCACTTTTGTGTTCATATAATCTTTTATTAACTTCCATGGTATATAAAAATCTATATATCTTTCCCCTATAGTTGATATCTACTTAGTCAACCTTTTGTTTCATTAATGAAATAAATTGCTATCCACTTATCTACTGCCAGCCTTTTTTTTTTCTATTAGTCGTGTCCCTTCAATATATGGACGACCATAGATCTCCACAACATCCTGTCCTTTGTAGCTCTTAGTAAGATTTGTCTTTTTGCTATCCCTCTCAATCCCTGTTCTGCCAACCATACTCGCTGCTTTACACTCTCTTGCCTCCAGTATGTCCTGTGAGTGTCAAATTCGCCAATCCCTCTTTCTTCATTGTGTTCTAGAAATTTCGACTGTTTCTTTCTGATTCTAAGTATTAATGTCCTTTTTGTTTCAAATTTCTTTAACTTCCTCATTGTTCACATGTTTCATCCATGGTGTTCTTGATATCCTTTTGTAGAAACACATTGTCTCTTTATCTGAGAAGGAATTGTCCTGCATTCACAGCCATATAGGAACATTGATAACATGTAGTAGCTTGGTATTCTTTTCTTTCTAATAAAATTTTCCTGCTTCTTAATACTTTGCTTAACTTTTGGAAGGCATTTTTCACTATCCAAATACACACTTGAATTTTGAATATCTTACAAAAATTTTGAAATAATTAAAAAAAAAAAAAAAGGAAAAAATATTGTGGTTTTCAAAAAGATGTTTTTTTTTTTGTTTTTTCTCTGACTCAATTCTGTCTTGTTAATTTTCTATCTTGTTACTTCATAAGAATTTGATTGAAAAGTAGTGTTTAAATGTGGTTGTCTTGTGTATAAGAAGTTTCACTGAAAAATGTTTTTACTGTTGTTAAAGTAGTCATTAGAAAGTTTGTCATATATGCAAAAGGGTGCGGAAAACTTCTTGGCCCAACAAAGAAGTGCTTAAAAAAACAATCTTTCTTCATTTGATCAGATTTTGGGAAGTGGGCATGGTCTCATTCATATATTTTATTATTATAATTTTAATTTTTTCCAGTTCTTCAAATTTAGCTTTTTTCTTTTCACAAAAATATCTAAAAATGTTTGGTCTTTAAATTTTTATGCTTTACGATTATAAAAACATTGGTTGCTTGAGCATTAGGCTTTTCTACACGTGGATTTTAGTTTTGCATGTTACCTTAGTGTATCCATTAAGGATTCTTTGAGAATTGATGAGAAGACAAAAAAGTCATTTGTTAGTTATTTAAATTTTGAGATGACTATTTTTATTATTAATTTTTGATCAGTTTTTTCTTCATCTTGTTGCTTTTATCTTAACTTTCTAAATTGACTAACCTTCAACTTTTTTTTAATCATTTCACTACAAGGGAGGCAATAAAGCCACTAAGACACAATGTTTATTGAGTATGAGAGAATAGGAAAAAATAAAGATCTTATTAAGGAGAGAGAACAATAAAAGAACAGGAAGTAAGAAGACAGAAGATAATGATTGACATTGCATTTAAATTTTTGAGGATCAAAGTTGATTGAAAAGCAAGACATGAGAAGTGTGATAGAAGAAACTGTTAACATTGAACTGGTGGTTATATCTAACCATTCCAACTGTAAAATGATGAGACCTTGCTGCCAATCTAGTACTGCACTTAAATTCATAGAGTCTAAGTACCATGGAGGAAAATTCATCAGAACAAACACCATGAAAATATTTATACAAAAGCCACATAGAAGCTACGTTACATCTGTGGGAAAGTGACTGACATCAAGATGCCAAGTCAGGACCAATAATATTGCAGATTCTTCTTTGGATTTTATCAAGAATTTTTAAATATATAGTAGAAGCATCAGATCAAATGTGGCAGTGCAATATTCAATACATTGAACAAATAGTAGATTTATAAATGTGTAAGATAGTTTATGGTGAGAAAAATTGTTTAGCACAGCATGGTGAACCAACTCTACTAACAGCAGACATAGTGATTGATTCAATATAATCTTTCCAATTCATGTCAGCAGAAAGCATTAGCTTAAGGCGGCGCAATGAGTCACATTCTTGGAGATTAGCATCAGGCAAATTTAATATTACTTTTACTATTATGTGGTTTCTGATGAGACTTGAATTCACATGATCTAGACAAGGAGCTCGTCTTTCAGATATGCTGCTTTAACTGATAGGCAAAAACTAGTCATACTACCATCTCTATATTCTATATCTTTGTGCTATATTATTTTTTTGCTTTTTTTGTGGTATCTCATAATAGTGAGGTTACTGATTTTTATACCTACTCAATCTAATGACCTGAGAATATTCAGTTTAAAAAGATGATGTGCAGTTATCTCCTTTGCCTGTATTTCTTTTCTAAAATTTACTTGGAAACCAATGACCTAGTTAGATTAGAATTTTGCAGGATGCTAGTATGTTTGGGTAAATATTTAGTCACCATTATGTTGTGGGAATCAACACTTTGGGTAGTAAATATTTATGGCTTCTTGGAAAATTTATCCTACAAACATATTGGTGGGCTCAATGTGAGTCCAAGTAAAAAATAAGTAATACAAAACAATATAAAACAAACAACAACTAATTGTATTGGTAAAAAAGAATATGTGTGAAAGAGTTTGAAAGTCAAGAGACAGAAAGGAAAATGCATGCAAACCTAGTGGCTGTGCTCCAACTGTATGTAGGTTAGATCTTAATGTTAGCGTTGAAAAACTGTAAAAGAGACTAGAGAGAGAAATGTACACCTTTTTATAGGCTTACTAACAAAGTTGTTTTATTTATTTATTCTTTTATTTATTTATTTATATTTTTTTTTTTTAGTAAAGTCAAGTGGGATTAACCTACAAAAAATGGTTCATTCTCTAAGAGTATTTTAACACATTTTTGTAATGTGATGGTTTTTTTTGTGTTATGGATACAGAAATCATTATAATGCTAATTAAAATATACATTCCTTTGGGGTATAAAATTTTATTATAGCTATTAAAATATTTTCTTTTTATTGAGTGCAAAGGAAAAAAGTAAAAAAAAGGTTTGTAAACAGTCAATCAAAAAGAATGTGATAAAGACTCAAAAAAAAAAAAAAAAACGCTTCATGAATTTTCTTTCTTAAATCTTCAGAACTCAATTGAGAATTTAAACAAATTTCTTTCTCCTATTCTTGCAGAAATTTCACTGTAGACCTTTTAAAAGGTTCGACTGATATGATCTATTAATGTTCTCACTTGTGGAATTCTCTTCTGACTTCTTGCTTTCCAGTCAACTTTGATCTTCAAAAATGTCAATCATTGTCCTCTCTACTTAATAAGGTTTTCTTTTTCTCATATTCTCTTACTCAATAATCTCTTGCATCCTAGTGGCTTTATTGCCTTGTTTGGGGTTAAATGATTAAGAAAAGAAAATGTAGCTATGGCTTATGTATTTCTTTTTAATATATGTATGTAATAATTTTTGAATTTTTCCTTACAGTGGATAGTGTCCAGTATATAAATGAAAATGTGAAACAAATGATAAAAGATTCCAATGTAAATAAATACATGTAAGTTTTGCATAAGTCTTCTTTTTTGTCTCTCTCTCTTTTAATATATTTTGGAGACTATTTTTTATGTTTTACAGAATGCCATCTTTAGATTTTCTTAATTAACTTGAGGACAAAACTGGTTCATTGTGCAATATCAGCAGAAATGTTTGATTTTTATCTGCTAATTATTTTGTGTAAACGTCATTTAGATATGCCTGGACCTTTATAGGGAATTGAAGTGGGCCCCATGTAAAATTCCCATGTGATGGATTCTCAATTTTTATTACTGCAATTGTTTTCAGTGATTTTTTTTTTTTTTTTTTTTTTTTTTTTTAACAAATTTTTTGTACAATAACAATTTTTATAACTTGGAAATAAATTTGTGAATAATTGAAATTAATTGCGAAATCCAGCGAAAATCAACCATGAAATAAAAATAATTGTTTGTATGGAGAGTAAGGACTTATGAACATCAAATTGTTTTTAAATTAAGTGGCAGCAGAAGAATTATTGTTGAACTTTTAAAAGGCAACTTTAAGTATTAATGTAATACTTAAATGCAGTGATCAATTTTTGTAGATTATCATTGCGTATCGCATACGGCAGCAGCAATATGCCACACAAAAAGAAATCTCTTCAGTGAACCAGATTGCAAGTGCGGAAAAGAAAATCTTGTGCAAATGAAAACGCAGATCAAACAGCAGCCAGGAGAGTTTCCAATGTTGAGAATATGAAAAGACTTACGGACTCTTAAACTCCGGAACAAGCCAAAGGCCCAATCAAGAGCCCCCCACAGGAGCTAACTTAAATGCCACTCAATAGGGTGGCTTTTAAGCTAGTACAAAAATAGAATGCAACTGACATGATTTGTACAAATTATATTTATCAACATTACAATTGGGTCTTTGCAAACCTGTGTGACCAAACTTATCTGCTGAGGATGAGTTGATGTTCTCACCATCTATGAACTCTATGGTGATAAAGGTGTAGAGATGACCCATTCAGCATGTGGTCATTCTGAAGGTTGGTACCAAGAGTAAAGAGTTGTTCAAAAAAGGTAAAAAAGTGTGCCAATCAGCAGCTGTGAGCTGATTGGCTAACCTTAAACTGCCAAGGGCAGATAATCATATATCTTATTTCTCATACATTTTATAAATCTGACTGCATTAAAAAATAGATTTTGAGATCATCATTGACTCTTCTTGGTCAATTTGATTTGTTTGATCCACTTTCAACAATTTAAATAGACAAATATGATAAAGAATATAAGTTTATTCTCATTATGTACCCTGGTTGTTCATTGATTCTACTAAAGCAGCTGTAGTTGAGATTACAGATTTTAGCCAACCACATTAGACATTGGATTTTAGCCAACCACATTGCAGATTTTAGCCAACCATATTAGAGATTGCAGGTTTCAGCCAACCATAATGCAAATTTCAGCCAACCAAGTGTGGTTAAAGTTAGTATAGAATTATATTTAACTTTTTTTGAACTGAATGAAATCAGATATTTCATCTCTTGACCATAATGAATTATGCAGATGCTAATTTCATTATGTTGAGTCCACCTGGCTGTCCAAATGATAGGGTGCTTATTTCCCAAGCAATGGAAAGTAAGCCTTTATCTTTTATGAAGTGCAGATCAGTAGAGATCTGCTATAGACTTACTGAAAGCTGGAATGATGTTATACTCTACTTAAAATTAGATCTCTTTTGGATTCACTTCACATCAAAACCTGTTAGCCAGATATGAATGCTACAAAAGCAAAATAAAAAATCAATCTCTGTGCAGGGGCTCTGGGCATCACATCCAGCTCACAAAACAAATCCCCCACTCCGACAAAATATACAATTTAAACATTGCAGACAATTGCAAACGTTTCTTCTAAAGCTAAAGCATGAGTCATTTATCCACATTGACTGTTTAAAAGGACCCATTTTCAACACTCAAGGAAGTCACCAATTTCCGTCACAAGCTTCAACTCCAGCCCTGTGCACTACCGGCTCTCCCATCCTCCAGGTTACTTTCCTCACCCACAAAGAGACACTCCACCGTGATTCTTTATACCAGAAATAGAGATAATTTTTATTTTAACATATCTTGGTAGTTTTCATTTCAATTAATAAACTAAGAAATTATATTGATTTTTCATTAAAATTTTTGTATTTTTACAAGAACACGCCTCTCCAAGAAATAATAATTCTAAAAATATTTTTTCCTGATACTATCAAATAAGCTCTCCAGATCACACACACACACACACACACACACACACATATATATATATATATATATATATATATATATATTTTAGCAACAATAATTCTTTCAAACATGTTTGTTTTAAATAATATCAACAGTTTCTCTCTATTTATGTCTGTTTATTAAATTTTTCAAATCTCAGAATTAGTATCTTTTATGTTATTGGTAAATTTGCCAAACTTCATGTTTATTTTTATTTTATATTATTTTTTTTCCGAGTACTTTTGAATGTTGCTTCATTTGTTTTCAAGGATTGTGTTTTGTGTATATTTAAATAACTGTTTTTGTTTAATTCTGGTGTTCTCATTTAAACAGTCAAACTGGAATTTTTATTTTATATAGAACATAGTGTAAAAAAAAAAATTCTGGAGGCTGTTATAATAAAAGACAATCAGTCGACATTAAATAAGGTTTCTTTCTCCATAGAGGACTACAAAAAAAAAACCCCTAAAAAATACACATAAAAATTCCAGTTTGACTGTTTAAATGACATCATGTAGACTGACTTGAAATTGGTTATTTTTATTGGGATGAATTGTGTTGCTAAAAATTTATCTTTTTACAGAGATATTTTTACCTATCTCTGATTTTTTTTTTTTTTTTTTTTTACATATTTGAATTGATTTTTATTTTTAATTTTTTTTTTTTAATTTTCAAAATTTTAAGGGGGTTCAATTTTCTATTTAAATAGATTGTAGATTGCCCCTACACTTCCTTGTGGATATAATTGACCCATTAATAGGAAAGTCACCATCATATGTCTGAAACTCTGCACACTTCATGGAAATAATCAAAAGATGCTCCTATCCAATCCGACCAGTGAATTTGTTCACCAAGGTACCCACAGAGGAAGCACTATCGGTAGTCAGGGACAGACTGGTTTCAGACTCATCCTTAGGAGAATCTACCAGTATACCAATAGATAACCTAATGGAGATGCTGACTTTCTGTACACAAAGAACACACTGGAATGAGATCAAACATATATCAGCAGGATGAAGGCTTAGCAATGGGTTTGCCATTATCACCAACAATGGCAAACATATACATAGAATACTTAAAATGGCATTAGAATCCATATCACTAAAGCCGACTCTATGGCTAAGATACGTAGATGACACTTTCGTACTTTGGTCACACCAGGAAGAGGTGCTGGACCATGTGAACTGGATAAGATCATTGATACAGTTCACAATGGAGAAAGAAAACAATAAATTAGCATTCCTGTATGTACTCATATCTTGAACAGAACATGGGTTTAAGACAAGCCAACATTTATCGGACAATACCTTAACTTCAACTCCCACCACCCATACAGTATAAACAAAAGGACCGTCTGCTGATTACAACATCAAGCAAAAGTCATAAATGGTGATCTAGGGACATATGAACAAGAAATGGTATTGTGTAAATATAATATATAGCCAGGTATTGAACACACAACTGTATCAAGTCACTGGATCCAACCAATACTTTTATCTAGTGGGCCACACGGAGTGCTAGAGAAAAACAATAACAAAAACTGTAATATGCACTCTGGTAAAAAATGATTACTGAAACATTAGGTTTAGAAGTCCCAAAAATTCATACATTGATGTCTTCAAGGACACATGGCCCAGTGGATAAGTGTTGGTTGAATCCAGTAACTTGATCCAAAGAGTTTGGCGTTCAATGCTGTAGTAGTGACTTACCTCAGCAACCCAAAAGGGCCAGAGTTGTGTATCGGCAAGCTTTGGACAGACAGCTTCATGCTGATGGTAGTGGTGTCACTTGTAGCCATTTTTATTGGCTGGTTCTGGGCACTCATTGACTGAGCGATGGCTGGGTTAGGTGCATAATAGCATGGTACACTCATTCAAGAGCAGTTCGTTTTTGCTTCTGATGGGGGAGTGGGGTATTGGAGATTGGGACGTGGAGAGAAGTGTGGATTTGTTTTGACCTGCCAATTATAGAATGGATTGAAAACCTTGAGTTAGTTTGCAAACTCTGTGCCATGGACAAAGTTGAGTGTGTCTTGCCGCTACAACTGTGAGGCAGTGCTCTTGCCGTGTATCAGCAACTGAGTAAGGAACAAAAGGCAGATGCAGAAGAGATCAAACAGACCCTTATGACTTCAACACAATAAATGCGTTCAATATATTCGACCAAATTATGGCGTGATGACTTTGACAGGATGAAACGGTGAATGAATTTTTGGCCAAGTTGCTTCGCCTGGCTCGGCTGGTATGAGAGTTGCTGTCTCAATGTTGGATGGTGTGCACATTTGTATCTGGTCTGCCACAGGCTTCTCCAGGCATCGTCTAGGATGGATGCTATGACTGTGAGCAGTTGCTAACCCAGGTTTGGGATATCATGATTGATGAAAAGGAGCACAAGGAATCAGTTGCTGCATCTACTTAACAAACGCATACAGATGAGGAAGTTCTTCCCATTAGCTTGTGCAGAGGAACTGTCATGTGCTATAGGTGCTCTGGTCCTAACCATATAGCCAGAGACTATATGCAGAGCCGTTCAGAGAGGATGGATATTTGAATGCAAAGAACCCGCTGTGAGATGCGGTGTTTTAAATGCAACAGTATTGGAGAGCAAATATCACGGAAACACCTGAGGGAAGAAAAGACATCAGTGCCAGTCTTCTTCCCAAACAATTACTGAAATGGGGACTACCTGCTGTAGAGGTATTTGTCAATGGACAGAAATGTGCCACTCTGGGTGCTCACGGATGCTGGTGAACAGAGCTGTATGCCGTCTTCAGAGGCAGAAGGAAATGAAAGTATTAATGATTGATGGAAGACCTTTGGAGAGAACTGATACTGAGACATCTGGAAGATGTTTCTGTTCACCACTGGCTACTGCAGTTGAGAGTTTAGTTAATGGGAGGTAACTGAGGCATCTTCCATGGAAGAGGCATGGCATGTGGAATTAGAACACTCTACCCCAGTGGATGAAATAAAGGGTTCATTTCAAAATTCCAATCACCTGAAAAAGACTGGAGTGTACAACAGCTGAAACATTGTGAATATGGCAACAAAAATGAGAACATTCTGAACACTGTGAATAGTGTAAATGATTACAATACCTCATCTCTGAAATATAGGCAGATATTGAAATTATTTATTTTTTTGCTTTATCATGTGGTATGATCATTTTTTTTCTCTTAAGTGAACCACCTCTTAAAATGAAAAAAAATAAAAATAAATAATTTTTTGATGTTTGTGATCTGGAGTGTTTATTTGATAATATTTTTTAAAAAAAAAAAGCTTATCTCTATGAGGGTTGCATTTTGGTAGAAATGCTGAAATGTTATAAATGCGTTTTTTTTTTTTTTTTTTTTTTTTTTTTATTTAATCAATTCACCCCAAGCAAGGTGGTAATGCCATGCCACTAAGACGCAAGGGGCTACTGGGAGTGAAAGAGAATGAGAATACTTTAGAAGGGACCGGAAACACAATCCTAAACAGGAAACAAGGGATAAACCTCTACTCCTGTTCAAAAAACTGAGGAGGAGTGTGAACCGGACAATAGGTAAAGCTATCTATGCCTATTAATAAATATCAATTTATAGTTAAAACTGATAATGACAAGCCTTTATTTATGTGAAATCAGACGAATTCCAAAGATCTATGTACTGTGTCCCTTCAGAACTTGGGTGATCATGTCTCTCCACAGCTTCCTATGCTTTTTTAGTAATGTTTATTTCCTTACTGTATTTTCTAGTGGATGTTTCTCTCTGCCTCTCTTGCCTTCAATGTCCTGTGAGTATCTAATTCTCTAGGTCCTCTTTCCTCATTATGTGTAATTAAGTAGGTTAATTGCGAATTTTTCTCTTCCCCTCTACAGCATGCGTTTTGGAGTAATTGGCAATATTCATAAGAAAAAGGACAGGGCAAAATAATACTAAATAAATATATATATATATATATATATATATATATATATATATATATATATATACACATACACACACACATACAACTAGGTAAAAAGCAACAGTAATAATGCAAAAAGTTCACAAAGTAACAATTGTGATTAGTGTTCTGACTTCAAGAAAGAATGAAAATATGGTAGATGAGAGACTAAGTGGACCATTTTTTTTATTGGTTATGTAGAAATCCCAGCATGCATCTGTAGGATATGTCTATAAATTTAGGGAGGCAGAGGTGTTCTTAGCCATTCCTACCAAGATGGGAACCACTAGTCATGTTTTTTTTTGTTTTTTTTTTAATGATATATTCTGATAACTTAATATCTCTCGAATGTAAAAAAATGAACTGTGTAGGCCAGAATATGAAGGAAAGATTTGTCAAAAATTAATGATAGTGACAATGCTTTCTTTGGGCAACTGAAGTAATTTATGAATATCAACTTGTCTTCTTTCTTTGAGATTCAGTGTTGAAACATTTTCATTATTAAATTTTTTACTAATTTTCACCTTTTATTTTTATCACCTTATTTCTCAATCAACTTGCGTGTCTTGTTGACTGTCTATAAAAGTCTTACTGATTGTTAGGTAAAGTTATGTTATTGCAGGTAAAATGCTTTCCCAGAAAGGTGTTACCTGGACATGTCCAAGTCAATATTTCCCAACTCCTACTGTAGAGCAGCATCTATTCACATAGGCAGCATGATAGATTTATCAATGTGAAATGTGGAGGCGGCTAACTGAGTTCAAATTTTGGCTGAGTCAGTTCTAGCTTCTCACTAATGTACTTGGCAAAGGCAGGAATCCTGGGCAGCTCCTGCCCATTATATGTTAATGCATAGAATAGTTAACACTAAGCAGGAGATTAGAAGAGTAATGGTAATGCCCATAATGAGTTCGTATGTAGCCAATGGTAAAATAGAACATGTCAGAATCTGCTGCGTAATCATTGGGGAGTGAATGAAAATTTTGGAAACCTACAAATTTTACGATGATGTTGATATACAAAAAATTATAAATTTCCAATGCAAGTTGATCATATGATGGATGGATATGATTGTGTGATAGATGGATGGATTGTGTGATGGATATGATACTGATCGTGTGATAGCACTTTATTTCAATAGAAACAAAGTACTATCCAACTGCAGGTGCATTCAGGCACCCCTGGATTGTGAGCATGTGAAACTCACAGGCACATTTAGGCATTTCCAGGCATGAAGTGTTAATAACTCTAATTGATAATGTTCCAGGTTACATTAAGAGCTTGTCGGAAAAACATTTGTAATGCATTCCTTATTGTCAAATAGTTTCCATGCTTAACTTTTCTTCTTAACTGTTTTGGTGTATTTAATAAGTTTTACCTATATTATTTTTCTTTAATGTGTGGTTTCCTTTCATGACGTAAGCGATCATGGCTCTCCACTACTGCCTGTCTTTTGTTGCTCTAAATAACTTTTCCCCTTTTACCATCCAACTTTGTCCCTTTTTCTGCCATCCATTTGCACCAACTTGTCAAGTTGGTTACTTGCTGTTTCTCTCTGCTTCTCTTGCATTCAATATGGCCCTCTGTGTGTTAAATTCTTTCAGCCTTCTTTCCTCATTACATGTCAGAAATTTCAGCTCTTTCTTTCTGATTGTAAGTATCAATTTCTTTGTTCTTACTTTCCTCAAAATTTCTTATAGACCATATAAACTTGTTTAATTAACATAGAAATTTCTATTTCTTCTTCCAGGAAAAATCAGTCACAGTCCACAGATATTAATTCTGAAGAAACTCGGGAAGGTAAAGTATAGAAACTTAATTAAATCTTTGCAAGAGCGTGAGATGCAATCCAAGAGTTCAAGGAATTTGGATGGCTAGATAGATCTGCACATCTGGTAAGCTACAAAACAAGTGTGAATCATCCCCCACCATTTCCTTCTTATTCCATTAGTAAGAAGTAAATTCCACTCAGACATATTCTTCCCAAGAACATCTGATCTGTGGAACAGACTCCTGGCAAAATGCTTTCCCAATCACCACAATTTTCACCTCTTCAAGTCTAAGATTAACTATTGTCTTTCCTACATAACCTCATGAACTTTACTTGTATTTTTTTATGCAGATATAACACCACACAGTAACCCTCTACCTTGAGTGGTTCTTAGGCTTTGTATTATGTGCCTATTAATATTGGCACCTCCATGAAATCACTAAAAAAGCAACATGACATGATGAAAACATGCTCCAAACATAATGACAACTTAGTTTTATCATCAAAATCTTTATTATTAAGAAGAAGGATCAAAATATTTTTTGAATATTTAATGAAATTTTTAGAAGATTCGAAATGTTGATTAAAAAGCTTGTTTCTATTGCATCAGTGGATTTTAGCATAGCAAATTTTAGCCTCTTTTTTTGGTGTTAGACACATTAATTTGGAAATTCTTGCAAAAATCAAATAATTGTTGGATTTTAATTTAATTTTCTGGACTTATTCACAAATGAACAGTGATTTGGGAAATTTTTTTTTTTATTAGAAAATCTTTTATTTTTTTTTTTTTTTTTTTTTTTTAACATGTTTTCATCACCTTACTTAATTTTATGAAATCTGAGAAATTCAATGTGGTAAGAATTTGAATCATGGATATTCTTTTTTCTAAATCGGACCATGTCCTACTGAAAATCTGCTCTGAATCAAAAAATGAAAACATTAATAGAACTAAGACATTAAATTAGGCTTTTATTTGATTTTATGAATAATATATGTTAAGGGCAATATTGTCTAAAGAAAAAATAATTTTTCAATGAATTTACAAAATTTTTTTTTTTTTTTTTTCTTCTAATTTTATGAGAATAATTTATAATATTTTAAAACCTTTTAAAATTTAGTTTCAATGTTGTTACTCTTAGGAAAGATTGTTATTAAGTAAAACTGTATTTACTAATAATATATCATAAAGCTTATTACAATCTGATGACCCCCAAATATTTTTAAAAGAATTTTTAATTGTACTTGTATTTGTAAAAAGCATTCCAAATTTTATAGGTATGGTCACTCATACACAACACTATCAAAAAATAATAGTGACATCTATAGTAAATTTAAAGCCAAAATTCAACATTAGATTACGAAGAATATTTTCTTAAATTTTTAAGATTACAGAGTACTTAAAAGGTGTTTGTGTTATATTCCTCAATTATTATTTTAAGGTTAAAGATCCTCCCCCGTAGAAAACATTATCTAACCTATCCATCATTGGTTGTCATGGAGATGTTAAAAACCTGTCAACATAAATAAACAAGCTACTGTTGTTGAAAAATGCATTTCTCTGATATTATAAACTTTTAAAAAATAATTGTTTCAAATTGGATTAATTATACTTTAAATCAGTCAATATTCCTCAAATAAATTTTCAGAAAAGTATATTTAATTTTTGGAAGATTTTTTTAATAAAAGATTTACATTTTTATAACACTTTCCTAAAAATGGTACCAAAAATTAAAAATTTTAGAAATTTCAAAAAACAATTTCTTCCAATCAATTTTAATTTATTTTGAAATAAAGCATAGTATTTTGCTGATTGGAAAAAATAAATTTAATCTCTCAGCTTGAAATTAAAACTAAAATAAAAGCTTCAAGAAAGATTTTCCATTAATGTTAAGTATCACATTTTTGTGGAGGTCCCTACATTAGTATAAATAAAAACGAAACTTTTTTTTTTTTTTTTTGTATCTTGTCAGATATTTTATACATCTCTCAAAATCATTCCAAGAAATAAAAAAAAATTCTTTTCTGTCAATTTTTTTTCCTTTGAGCCATTTTGTGCTTTGAGTTTCTTGAACTTTTGGTTGCATCTTATATCTTTTGTATGTCATGTCCTTTCAGGATATAGCCAATCATGGCTCTCCACAACTTTCTTTTGTTTCCTGGTCTGTTGATTTAATTTTTGCATTGATTTTCTTGGAAAAGGCATTAATCTAGAGTTCACTGCCAACCTGGAAAATCAGGAATTATCAAGGAATTGAAAAAAATAATATCAATTAAAATTGAAAATTGTCTGAAAATAAATCTTATGTGATATATTCTTGGATTAATAAAATCTGAATAGAAAAATTTCTTTGTTTTAGCTGTGCTCTGGCACAACTATATACTTACTATAGTCTTGTCTTTTCTGCAATATTTCGAAATTGGAAATTTATTTCACCAATCTATCTTCTCCCTCAGCTAAGGGCTAAATACTAGGGCATATTGGACTCTTCAGACTTGTCATGTGATGAATCTAAGACAACTTTAAATTCCAAACCAATGGGAAACCATTGTTTTACAAGAAGTCATGGCAATTCACACATTACATAGAAAGGAACTTGTGGAGAACAATGATTAGCTCTACCCTGAAGGGAGACAGCATAAAAAACAAAACAAAAAAAGAGCTTTGATAAATTCATTAACTCAAAGTAATTCATTTTCTTCATTTCAGTTCCTTCAGCTAACAATGGTGAAGTGTCCTTTTTAATACCCAGAGAAGAGGCTTATCCAAAATGGCCAACATCTTTCTTTACACAATTCTACTGGTTAGCATGGAGAAATTACAAACAGTCTAAAACTCGGATTATTTCTAAATTTGAAATTGCCAGAGCCATCATTCTCTCTATCTTTCTTGGTCTTGTCTATTTCCAACTTGAACGAACAGAGGATAAAATTCGGGAATACAAAGGACTGGTGAGTGAAACCATTTTTATTATTCCTTTACATTTTCACTATTGTGCTGTTTAGTCCTACTTCCTTTTAGTGTCTCGAACAATGTTGAGCTTGGTCATTACCTAGGTGGGTGACCACTTGGGAATACCAGGTGCTGTAAGCTTGGATGTGCAGGTGGTGTAATGGATAATGGCTTGGAATTGTTAATCGGAGGACTGAGTTCGTTATATTCACTTCCGCACAAATACCCTTGCAGAAGGTATAAATCCACCTCTTCACCCCCAGATATGAGTTAATTAGTAAGACTTGTATCACTAAAGAATTATGGTAAAAAAAAAATATTCTTACAATCTAAAAATATTTTCTGGCTTTAAATAACCTGCAAATGGTTGATAAACTGTAGAAAACAAAATAATCAGTTAACCTTTCAGTCTCATATTAAAGCTATATAGCGGCTCGGATTGAGGAATTGGAGAGCTGAGTTCGAATTCTAGTTGGATCCATTATATTCCCTTACATGCTAATACCCTTAGGAAAGGTATGAATCCTCTTCTTCTCCCTCCAGCTATGGGTAAATAGCAGGACAGACCGGGTTCTAAAGGCTTGGCAACTGGTATACTGCAGAAAGAAATAGCAACCTACTGCGGGAAAAATCTGCCTCGTCAGTCATGTATCAAAAGATACATGATCGCCTAAGCATGGCACATAACTGACTGGCTGACTGACTTTCCAGTCAAATCCATTACATTCACTTACGTGTTAATACCCTTGGGAACAGTATGAATTCTCTTCTTCTCCCCACCAGCTGTAGGTAAATAACAAGACAGACGGGATTCTATAGCCTTGGATGGCAACTGGTCTACTGTAGAAAGAAATGGCAACCTATTGCAGGGGGGGTGGAATCTGCCTCATCAGTCATGTATCAAAAGATACATGATCGCCTAAGTGTGTATCACGTATGACACATAACTGATATTTTAGTATAAATAATAAAGAGTATTTTGTAGTTAAAGTCCCTTTCTTTTGTTCTTCTGTGCTACACGGTCACTTGCTTTGATGTTGGTAACAAATTAAATGAACCTTCCTATATCCATTGACCAGTTTCAGTATGGCCAATTAGTATATATGCTTTCCAATTGATAGGAGTTGGTAGCAAATGTAGTCCTAGCAGTATGATTATGGGTCACTGGGAATTGTTTTCTTACATTAGGATGACGCATCTTTTCTCTTAATCGGTCATTTAGTCTTCCCAAATGTGCAAGCTTATCTCCATATCTGGGCCCCTTGCTCAGGCATGATGTTTCTGACTTATGCTTTGATTCCTTGTCAACTACCATAGTTAGTGACCCTCTACCTTGAGTGACACTTGGGACGTGTACTGGGTGAAAGATAGTAAAAAAAAAAAAAATTAGAAAAAACAACAACAAACAAAGAAAAAAAACAGGCATGTGTGCCTTTAGCCAAACATTCACAACACCATCATGAACATCACTAGTGGAATCCCACTCCGTAGAGTTTTCTGATTAGAGGAAGCTCTGATTTTATTCAAGAAATAATCATTTGAATATGCAAAAGAGTGTATTCACTTATGACACAGGCCCAACTTCTGACATCATAATGTGGGGCTGTGATAAGCTACAGCTTGCTTACCTTTTAGTGTTTGTCGAAAAAACATTGAACAATGACAGACATCTAGAACATTGTTGAACCCATTATGTTGACTTTCCTGTAGCAGGAAGGTGATGTACTGTCTCAGCAGGATAATACCTGCCACATAATGCCTGTGCTACTCTACATACTCTGCAAGATGTTTAACAATTTCCTTAGTTGTCCTCTTCCCTGATCAAACATGTATGGAACACTTAGCCTGCAAGATAGTATTCACCATCTGAAGAATCTTATGAGGTGAGAGACCTATGTTAATACCCAAGAAAGATATTCAATGTATGCAAATCAGCCAAATATCTGTATTCTTGTATTATTTTGAACTATTGTTCCCATCTTACTTGACATTTTAATCAAGTACCTAGGCATCATCATTGATTGGCTGATATGGGGCACCTGTTGATTATTGTAATATTTTGTTTCTGTGATGTCAGTTATTGTTTGTTTCTGCTTAATTGGTGCTTCATTACCTGATCTTGGGATTGAGCTCATGACCACTAGATGACAGTAACATATGTATAATCAACTATATCTGAAGGACATTATTGGTATGTTTTTGGAGCCTTTTATATTCAATGTCAGATGTTTTTTTTTGATATTTGGTTATGATGACGGGTTTGTACTGCTTTTCATAATTTAATTTTTTCTTTCAGAGATTTTTTTCAATTCTCAATGTACTTGTATTTCAAACTATTTGTTTTCACAACATTTTCAATCCTAAGATAAGATAGTGAAGCACCAATTCTACAGGAACAAACAATAATTGATATTCACTCAATAGACCTGATGATGACCAGAAGGTACTTGGTCAAAATGTGTCTATAAAAACATCTATATTAACCAAGATGAGAGCAATATTTCAAAATAATACTAGAATATTGCTCATTCCAGAAATGAAATACTAAAGTATATGTTCATTATGTTGCAATTTTATTTTTCATCAGTTTGTCTGTAATAAAATGCTTTTGTGGAAGTTTATATAAATGTAGTCTTGTTGTTTAAGCTCTGGGTACATACAAACTGATTTTCTTTCTTTGCTTTTATTTCTTTTCATTATATATATATATATATATATATATATATATATATATATATATATAATGTGTGAATGTATTTATTTATTTTTTTTTTTTTAAATTTTTAACAAAATTTTCCTCTTGACACTGCTATTACTATAAGCTCCCTCAGCAATCTGTGTTTTAAAAAGCTATTTTTAGAATTTAAGTAAATCCCAAACATGAAACTGTATTTATGCATTCTCTTTTTTTTTTTTTTTCAAGAATTAACAAAAAAATATTAAACACTATTTTATTAGCTTGTTTCCTTACAAGAATAACTTTATATTTACAGGATTATAAAAATATTTGAACTCACTATAATGCAATATTTATTATTTAAAGAATAAGCAAAATAAAATGTTATAAAGAAATAATGAAAACAATTTTGTTTTTTTTATATTCATAAATTTATAAAAATGTCTGAACTTTAGAACAAGAAATTTTTGAAAAATATATTCTCTGGGCATTTTTTTCATTTGCTCTCATCAAATAAGTTCACTAAAATAGGGAAATAGCATGTGGATTTATACTTTTTTTTTTTTTTCTTTTTCCTTGAAAAATGACAACAAAAATATTAAGCACTACTTGTTTAATTACAAGAATAGTGTTGAATATCTATTCTTCATAAAAAAAAAAGAATGCTTAAATACAATTTCATATGGTTAGCTTTTACCAAAATTCTAAAAAAAAAACTTTTTAAAATTTCCAAGGTAGTATGCAGTAATAGTGATGTCAAGCAAAAAACTGTACTTTTGATATACGTTTCTTTTTCTTTTTTTCTTTTTCTTTTCTTTTTTTTTTTTTTTTTTTTTTTTTTTTGAGGCTATATTTATAATATTTACTTTTATAATTATAATAAAAAAGAAACTATAGTTTTTTTCTTTTTTTTTTTTTTTTTTCAACACTCATTCATTTCAGTTGTTCTTCCTTGTTACACATTGGACATTCCAACCTTTGTTGGAAGCTGTACTTTCTTGTGAGTTACTTCCCTTTACTTTTTCTTTTTACTATCTTCTCAGATACTTGGTAAATAGTGACAAAAGGATAGTAATTTCTGCTTCATAACTTACACCACAAGATCCAAGTTGGTATCAGTATTTAAGATTAACCACAATTCTGTTATTTACTTATAGTACTTGTATCTGGAGAAATCATTGCTATTGTCAAAAAATTGTAAACACAATATTCACTCATAAAAGTAAATATTCTTACAATCCAAAATGTTTCAGATTTAAATAACCCTACAAAGGGGGTGATAAGCTGTAAAAATATATATACTTGTGGCAATAGTCAGTGTTAACTTTTTGGATTAAAAAAATTGTGGGAATATAAATAAATGCACCAATGTTGATTTTTTTTTTTTTTTTTTTTTTTTCTTTTGTCAGTCTTTGTTTTTATTCATTCATTCATTTATTTATTTATTTATTTTTTTTGCAGTTCCTACGGAGAAAGAGATTCTCTATAAAGAGCGTGCGGCTGGTTATTATCGGCTATCAGCCTACTACTTGGCTAAGATTGTCAGTGAGGCACCACTGACTCTTGTCCTGCCCATGTTCAGTTTTATCATTGTCTGCATGTTTGCTGGCTTATATCGACCAGGTGTTTTGTTTGCCTCTATGGGTACACTGGTTTTTCATGCTGTTTTGTCTCAGGTAAACAAATGAGAAGAAAGCAATATAGGGTGGAGGAATAAAAACGGCACTGCTGCTGAGGAGTTGGTGAATGGTCTGCTTATAAAATTAAATAATTAAGAGAAAAAAATACAATAGAATAAGCTAACTAGCAACTAAAAAAGAAAATACAAGGAATGAAATGCACACACATCAATAATTGACATGAGTATATCTATATATTGATCATACTAAGTCCTAACAGCCATTCCTTTTATTTGCATAAAGATGGTTGTCTTGAAGACTTTTAGTGATAGTCAGAATTTGATCTGCTCAATTGAGAATATATCATTATGGAAGGATGATGTATATTCCCAATTTTTAATAAGATCTGAGATTGCAGACCTGGATATAATGGAAGACATAATTTTTCAATCAACTTTTTTTTTATTAGCATTCTGTAGACCTTCCTCTACCCACAAAATAAAAAAAAAAAAAAAATATTGATTTTTTTTTTTTTTCCTTTTTAGAAGGAATCCTGTTCATAAGATAAATACAGTATTAAATCAATCCTTGATTTTCTTAAATAATTATCTTAACCTTGTTTTTCCTTATGAAAGTCAAATATAAACTACCTACATTTGTATAGCTTCAGTGTTCCTCAATGTATAATTATAACCAAGATTTTCCTTTATATTTTTGTTCCTCATATATATATATATATATAATTTGAAGAAAATCTATGACAAAGTGGAAAAAAATTTTTTATGTGATGTGTTTTGTCCTTTAGGACTTCATTGGACTAAAGTGATTTTTACATTGAAGGGGTTTAACATATGCATAAAGGAGAGTGAACTCTGAAATTAATTATTTTTTTTTTTTTTTAAATATGCATTTTGGGTACATTGTCTTGCCAATTACATTTAGTTTCCTTTTCTTATATTTTTATCACTTTTGTTATTAAATATCCCACATTGTGATCTGCCAAGAAAGGAGAAATGTAAGAACCTGGATGTAAATTAACTCTGCATGATCTAGCAATTAAAGCACTTTCTATACATTTGTCTTACTAAATTACTTTCTCTTTTATTTATAGTAGTATTATTTAAATCAAAATATATATTATTTTCACACACACACACACACACACATATATATATATATATATATATATATATATATATATATATATATATATTCTATCAATAAGAATATTATTTTAATCAGATGAAAGATGCACTAGTTAGAATTTTTGGACCTTCACACCCACAAAAAGGTGATTTTTTTTTTTTTTTTTTTTGCTTGAGACTGCTATTATTTTAACTGTTTATTTCTTCAAAATGCAATGATTAGGATTGTAATAAATCATAAACACTTGATAAAGGAGAATTTTTATACATTATTTTTGTTCTTGAGAATTAAGAAAAATATTAAACACTTTATTTATTTGTCTATTAGATTGTTTGTTTACAAGAATAATTTTATATTTACAACATTCTAAAAGCTAATACAATTGTATTAAAAGTAATCTAATGCAATATTTATCATTTATCAATTTATAAAGAAATAAATGTGAAAACAATTTTTTATTCATAAATTTATAAACATTTAATAAATAAGGAAAACCTGTTTATTTACCATTTTATAAAGTTTGAATCAGTTGGCAGTTAGCCAATGTTTTGACAACCATTTCAATAAACAATATAATAGTGTAAATAAAAAATCTGATAAATAGTGTTTATTATTTTTATTGTCAATTCTCAAGAACAAAGAAAATGTATAGATTCACTTTCATATTTAGGTTTTATTAAAATTCTAATCATTTTTTTTTTCCAGGCATGAAGATTAAAGATTGCCAAATTTTTACATTTTGTCATTCACGTACCTACCTTATTTTTATTTATATATAATATCCTCACATAAGTAAAAATATAATTTTATTACTGGTATATAGTGGATGCATGGCCAAGTAGTTAGAATGTTTGAATCTCACTATGGTTGATTTGTCAGGAAGGAGACTTCTTGATGTTATCAGCCTGGGGTGGGTGGTTGATCTCTGTGTAGCCGTCTTGGAAAGTACCCGAAAAACATATCACAGGTAGACTGAAATCGCTTGAGTGAAATTAGGTAGATGGAATTGTTGAGCTAAGATGAAGTCAAAAGTCATCATGTCTTAGGATGCGAATGTACTGCGTCTTGTTCAAATCATTACTCCCACCAAATGATGCACTCTCTCCCATAATGTCTTCTCAGCATAGTTGCAGTATAAACTGCAGGTGGACTATATGGGTGTTGAACAAATATGCAATGTGCCTGAGCAGTCCTTTGCAACAGAGATTGATTTAGTGAGTGATATTTTATTTTTTTTATTTACCATTTTCAGGTTATTTAAAGCCAGAAAATATCTTTAGACTAAGAATTTTTGGAGGTAATAATGATTTGCTGATACAAGTCCTAATTAACCCATAGCTGGTGGGGAGAAAAGAGTTGGATTCATACCTTTCCCCAAGGGTATTTGCACATAAGTGAATATAATGAACGTGGCTAGAATTTGAACTCGGCTCTTCAATTTCCAATTCCAAGCCGTTATCCGTTACATCACTCACACATCCAAGCTTACAAGCAGTCACCCATCTAGGTACTAACCAGGCTTGATGTTGCTTAACTGCAGTTATCATGTGAAAAACCAGTGTTTCAATGTTATATGACTGTAAGCTAACCAGGATTGGCTAGCTTTCCTAGCAGACATATTTGGAAACTAGCTTCCAACATCATCATTATTATTAGTAGTAGTAGTAGTAGTATTCATTGTCATTATTGGTGGAACTCATTGCTTAGTATTGGGGTGCTCATTGACATTTCCCTCTGTGTAAAGTAGTAGGGTTCAGGGGAAAGAGAGCTCTGGTTTTTCTTTAAACTCTCTTTGTCTCTTCTATTTGTCTTCAGATGTTTTTCAAAGGGTGTTGTTTTTTTGCGGACTGCTCTTCTCAAATTGGTTCTTTAGATACAAGAAAAAGAAAAGTCTTTGAGCATGAAAGCCTTGGCTACAAACTGTTTGAAGTCATTCATAGGTCACTACTCTATGGCACACACACAATTCAGTTGACACCATCTGCTGCAGGAAACGAGAACTTCTCAAGCAGATTCATAATGACAGTTTGCATTGAGCTACCGACTAGTTCTTGAACATAGAATATTACCTTTGATTGCTTACCTGTTGGGCCTCAGATTGTCTTGTCCCTTATTATTATTATGTGTGTGTGTTTGTGTATGTGTGTAGTTAGAATTCCATGTAATGGCAAGAAAATTATTTTCTCTTAATTCTATATTAAATTTCTAATTTCCCAAAAGTTCCAAATAAAATCTGATAATTCTTTTAACAATTTTGTTTATTTTCATCATTTCAGGGCTTTGGTATTTTATTTGGCGTTATCTTTTTAGACACACAATGGGCTTTAACTTTATCTACAGTGTTTACAGTCGTCAATATGTTAGTTGGTAAGCAAGATTTTCTTTTATCTTTTAATAATGTACTTTGAACAGATAACATTATTTACTTGAATACTAAGCAATTGCTAGAACAATGACAAGCGCAATTAAAGGGAGGAAATGATGAGATTTCTGTCTTGTTTACCTGGTTGTTTTGCTTGGTTGTTTTATCGTATGGCATATCAAAACCTCAGTGGGTCATTTAATGCCAACAAAATTTTTGCAATAGATTCATGGCGATAGTTTGGTAAAAAAGGTGTGTATGTTATATATATATATATATATATATATATATATATATATATATAATTGAACCATTTTTCAATTACTCATAATTTTAGTACAATCCAACTTCTTTTAGGAAATTTACAATCTTGGATGGTTTTATTCTCATAAAGTTTTTTTTTGTAAATTATTCACTTGGTAATCTTTTTTTCACACTAGATCAAAATCTACAAACTAACAGTATATGTTTCACTGTAAATTTTAATTATTGCTGATAATAATGTTTCCTTGATAAATTATTGCTAGTAATAATTTTTTTTAACAAAGTATTTCTGGTATTAAAACCTATTTTTACACAAGTTTGGATGTTAACTAGTTGCCTATAGCTGGGACCACAACAGGTTCTACCACCCCAGGTCAGGGTGGACCTGGGAACGCCAGCAATTAAGAGATGGTTCCACACTCCTCAAAACCTCTTGATCAGAAGCCTTGCTGTTAGACGTAGTTTACCGTTTTACCCAGGACGCAGATGTAGTTTATTGTCATACCCAGGATGGTCTCGTTTACCTGAACAAGTACAATGCTTTGTATGTTTTGTATGTAGACAGCCATTTGCAATATGGAAAGTACGTATGTGTGTGTGCAATTTTTATAATACTATCAGCCAGTGAGCATTCAGGAGTTCAGTGTGTATTTAAGGATTTTCTTGAAATGACGAGCAGTGTGCTTCCAAAAACTGTTAAAAGATTGCAATTGGCAGCAATTTACGGTGGACCATGTGTGCCACAATTTAAGGTGTTAGAATGCATTTCTTCTTCTTTTTTTTTTTTTTCTATGATGAACTTGGGCTATATGGGTGTTGAGCAAAACATAATGTGGCTGAGCAGTCCTTTGCATCAGGGATTGATTGAGTGAGTGATTTGATTTTTTTTTATCTATCATTTTCAGGTTATTTAAAGTCAGAAAATATTTGTGTTACAGAAATGGTCTGCTTGCAAGAACAGGAAGTCACAAATGAGAGAAAAATTTCTTTGTGTGAAAGGGAGTACTTTACATCGAATTCAGAAGTGACATGGAAGCTATAGAAGACGGTCATAAAGACATTAAAAACTATTAACTATTAACTATTTTATATTATACCAAAAGTATTGTTTCAATGTTTACTATAGAATCTAATGTAATTCTCTACACATGGTATCTTTAAATGATCCTAGCACTTAATTTTTTAAGCTCAATGGTCAGGTTATTCTCTATTCTGTCTTTTAAAGTATCCCAATCAAGAACTGATGCTCATCCACATCCAGTCTTTATTTAAAAAAACTAATTGGCATCCTTCTTCCTTTGTCCGCCATATCCTTTTGAGATAGGCAGACAATCCCCAATTAAATATTTCTGTATTTTCATATGGCAGCTTTGACTTTGGACAACTATTCTCCAGTTTAATATTTTATTTCTGAGATGATTCTAGTTTTCAAGTCCATCCTCTGTAATGAAGACAGCAGTTCTGTGCCTGATTGGAGTTGTCAGAAAAAATGTAATGTGTATTCCAGAAAAAAAATATAATTTTGGGAAGCATTTCCACATAATATCAATGTTTCTATTTCAAAACTTAAAAAATTTAGACTTCCTGGGTATGATGATAAACTACATTCAGCAGCAAGGCCTCTGATTGGGAGGTTTTGAGGAACAGGAAACCACCTTTTAATTGCTGATGTTCTCAGTTCCATCCTGACCTGCGGTGGTTGCATCTGTTAGGTTCTCAGCAATGGGCAAATAGTGAATGCCAAAACTGGGGTCAAAATATTATAAAAATACATTTTTGTAGTAAGAATACTAGCAATACATTTTCAAAGTAAAAAAAAAAAAATTACCAGCAATACATTATTGGAAAAGGAAGCGGAAAATTACCAGCAATACATTTTTGAAAAACATAATTATTTAAAATTTCAGCATTAAATGACCCATGAACAGTTGATATGCCATTAAATAAACCAAACCAAAAACAATCAACAATTTAGAAAGTAAAGGGATAAATTTAATATTAAAATTTAAGGACTGTTTTTGTTGGTTGATTTTGGAGGTGGAGGAACAAATTTCTCATTGTTTTTTTGTTTTTTTTAATTTTAGCTGGATTTTATGCAGAAACTTTTCCAAGTTGGTTGACCTGGTCCCGGAATATTTCATTTTTGGCTTATTCCTATAATATTTTAATATATTTGGAATTTTCACATGGTGATCCTGTCAAGTAAGGAATATAATTTTGCTTCTTAATTTTATTTGTAATAACCAAAAAAAAAACACTCAAGCTTTTTTGCTTTGACACAGCAGTATGTCTTGACTTTTAACCTCAGTTTCTTGTTTATAGACTGGAATTTCAATCATTGTGCATTTAAGTGACTAGATTGCTGACTATTTTTATTGAGACATCAGATTTAGATAGATTACAGACCAAGGCTAAAGATCTTCTATCTTCCCATAAGATGAGAACTTGCGACTTCTGAACAATTTTATTGTCTGTCCAATTTAATTCACAAGGCTTGGGTCAATCTGTGGCTGGAGTTTTCAGGCACTTCTCAATAGACTGATATTATCAAGAAGTTAGTTAGTTTTTGTTAACCCTAGTACTTTTACCATCACCAATAAAAAAGAATGTTGATTTTACAGCAGTTACAATAAGTTTGTCTTTGTAATATACCCCTGAAGATGATCTTGGAAAAGATCAAACGTACAGTCTGTTTCATGCTTAAGCACAATCTTCAGGCCACTGAAGAAGCATGAAACAGGCTTGTCACCACTGGGTGTTTGCCTCAATGTCCACTTTTATATTTACATACACTTTATCACTGATATTGAGCACTTTAACTCATCTATATGGTATACCTTAAAACTATAGTTTTATCATATAATGTGTGTGCAGAAGCTGCCTGGCCTTCATTTTCTAAGTAAGTTTTGATAGTCCCAAAGCATCTCCCCATCCTTGTGGGTGATGAGTTATTTTTCATCCTACAACCCATTTCTCACTGATGAAACGTCGTAAGCCTCTCTATTGCTATTTTCATGGAAAATGTTCAGATTAACTACATTCCATAGTTCTACCAGTTCTCACCTGCCATAGCATGGTACATTGTAGAAAACCACCCTTTCATATTCCATTGATGAGAAAAGTTCCACTCTAACAGCTTATTTGCATAAACCAATATGTGGGACCAACTCCCAAGAAGATGTTTCTTTGATCATGACAATCTTAACCTGTACATGTTCACTGTTATCTTCCCCACTTAACTTTGTCTCTTAGCTCTTACACTGTAACCCTCTACTTCAAGTGGCTCTTGGGCCTTGTACAGAGTGAATATTATTGTAAAAATAAACTTCAATATTAACTGCACACATTAGGAAGTGCTTCTTTTTCTTTAAGTGCATTAGGGAGTACTGTCTTAATGAGAGAATCCCCAGAGACAAGGCCAGTCTTTTTGAAATTTTCCCCAAAGACTTGCCAAGACTTGATTTAAGTTAAATCTATTGTTTTGGACATCTGATGCATATAAATGTTGTAATAAGCTTTTCTTTCATTCCAGATGTCTCAACATTACACTTCCGAGTAATTTTGGCCTGTGCCGTGATGCGGTTGATTATGTCCCCAGCAATTTGGTGATTGAGATGTCCAAAATTGACCTTCCCTTGTTTGCAAATGTGATTCTTTTAATAATACTCTTTGTGGCAACCAGACTGGCATCCTATTTAGTTCTTCGTTACAAGCATCATCCGGTGTCTGCTTAGAGGCAGGGTCTGTTCAAAACCCACCCACACACCTACCTGAGTTGGTGTCTGCCAAGTTTGCAAGGTGCTTCACTTTTTATGAGGCTGACTGATCAAAGTCCAAAAAGAGGCTTAAGATATCCAAATTGGATACTGTTACAAACTTTTCAGTTTTATCTGAAATGTTATTTGTTCAGATATTGAATATTTAATAAGACAGTTCGTAGAGTTTCTTTTTTTTCTCTTTCTCTTTCTCTTTTTTTTCTCTTTCTCTTTCCACTGTATTCTTTTCGTTTTCTTTTTTCTCTCTGTTTTTTTTTTTTTCTTTTTTCTTCCAGTCATTTTTTCTTTTTTCTCTCCCATCTTTTCTGTTTTTTGCTTTTTACTCTTTTTCATTTTCTTTCCTTCCATTTTCTTTTTACCCTCTCCCATTTAATTTTATTTACACATTCTACTGTTGGTAGAACTTTTCTTGTTCAGTTTCAAATTTCTTTTTATGGCAATTTCAAACAAAAAATGTCTTCTGAACTTTTACACATTTTGCATATTTTTTATTTAATATTTATTTTGCTTCTTTCTTTTGAGCTAAAGAATTTCTTCTTTTCCTTTTATAGTAATATTGTTTTATTACTTTTTTATTTTCTGTTTTAGAAAATGTTTTATTTTACACAATTATAATACCATACTTAATATATTTTTTTTTTTTTAACTCACAAATGATGGGATTATTCTAGTATGCATCAGCACTTCTGCATGAGATTAGTGTAGTATCTGTGCACTCTGCCTAATGTAGGCTTTGCAAGTCAATTTTAACAGTGTTCAAGCACCAGAATGCTGGTATGGTGAATATGCCACTTGCCTGCTTACCTCTGGGTTGGAGGTTCAAATCAAGGCAGGATTCAGTTGTTAATTTTATATCTGATTGTTTTACTGTGACAGAAGTTACAGTTCAAGAATGACATTATATTTTTACTCAAGTATTTTGACAGATAATTTTATTTTATTTCTTATCAAATTATTTCTTAAATGAATACAAAAATCTTTGTATAATCCTGGTGACTTATGCAAGAAATTGAAATAATAAACTGCATTTTAATAACAGACATTTTTTTTCTTTAATACTATTTTTATACTAAAGTTATTTTTCATTATAACTTTTAAAATTTTTTTTTTTTTTTTTTTTTTTTTTTTTTTTGAAGAGGAAATATTCTTAAAATTTTTTTATTTTTGAGTTTTTATTTTAAAAAAAAAATAATCATTTTAGGTATACACAATGCCTTGTAAATATTCTAAAGTCAAAACCTTCAAACATTTTATGTCAATATCACTTACACTTCTAAAAAGTACCAGATTTAAACTCTGAGGCCCTGAACAATATAATTCCTAGTAACGGCTTGTTAAAAACATTATGCAAAAATTTTAAAGCTCACCACAATAAAATTCTAAAATCTTAGTAAGGGTGGGGGCTTTCTAAGCATTGAAGACTACGTTTAACTAATACCTAAATCCTGCTTGTAAATATAAAAAAAAACAAAATTTCATAAATATGCTTTTATATATATATATATATATATATATATATATATATATATATATATATATATAATTTTTTTTTCTTCTCATTACTATAAATGTTATCTTTAGTGGTTATATATGTTTGAGTTTTTATCCATGGTTTTTATTTTATTACATGTTACGAAATTGAAGCTAGCCGATACAGATTCATAGAAGGCCTACCGAGATAACATACTTTCTTTAGTAGGTAATTCCAACCTTGCCATATCATGCTGGTCTCCACAGCAAAACTGGTAAAGGCACACTTTGCCTCAAAAAGTGGTTTCCCTGATGGGGGAAAAAAAGGGTTTGATTCCTACCAGAGTAGCAGTTCTTTCTTTTATAGGACTTCTCAGTTTAGGCTGATTATTATTAATAAATAATTTTTTTTTTTTTTTTTTTTTTTTAAATAAAAACCAGAGATAGCAACTCAAACATAATGATTATAGTAATATATTATCGTAATAATGTCAGATAAAAAAAAAATTTCAAAAAACATATATATATCTCACCACTGAAGGAGCAGCAAAAATGCAGACACATTTTGGCTGCTTATCACCCAAACATTTATAATTAACAGCATTAATAATATCTAGAATATAAGAATCATAATTGAGAGTAGTTATTCATTTGTAGAATGCCATATACATGCACCACACCACACACGCACACAGTTGTGGACAAAGTTACTTGCAAACAAAATTTTTACTGGATGAGCTGATGTTCTTTGCACTTAATTCAAAACATAGCTCATGTTACGAGGTTTATGTAAAGTGCTTGATAATTTTCCTGCAGCATTGGCTTTACACAAAAAAGTGAAAAAAACTGAAAAAAAAAATCACATTTTTTGTACTACTTAAAATAGAAACTTTAATAATTTCCTAATTTTTTTATCCAATTTTCTTCAAACATGTTGAAAAAATTTGCCATCATGCAAGAAATAAAATAGTGTGGTTTTAGTTCTGCTCGCTTCGCTATGTATAATGAAAGCACATGAAAAACTGTTTAAAAAGCCAATTTTTCAGCTGTAACTCCCTGGTTTTTCATCCAATGCTTTCCAAATTTGCCATGTAAATTACATATGACACACAAATTGAATGTTTGGATTAGATTGAATGTGAATGTTTGGATTAGATTATTTCAATTTAAGTGGATGAAATCTGCGACAAATTAGGTTCAAAATCAGCTTCTGCCATTTAGTCAATAGTTTCTTCATATGATTCTATCCTGAATTGGCATTCGAACAACCTTTGGTGTAAAGATTGTTTGACAAGGATTATTGAAGTGTTTAAAGGGAAAAATTCCCAAGGAACCTCTTATTTACCCCAGCTTTACAGTAAATGTGCGACGAAAGAACGGGCATTCATGTGATTGCACTTGCAGTTGAATCAAGCCCTGACACTTCATCTCTGTTTTTGTTTGATTATTAGATTTGTGAACAATGCCATACTATACGAAAGTTATTACAGCCATAGGAAATTTACTGAATATCTAAAACATTGAAACAACTTAACCCTGAGCAATGACCACACATGGTTTTATTGATGGAATTCCTTAAGAACAATCAAACACTTTTGAAGGATATATCGTAAAAAAGATGAGGTAAAGGAGTAGCTTAGTATACTAACAAATGATACATTCAAGTGGGGATGCAGGCAGATATTTTTAGACAAGTAGGTGCAGTTATACAATTGCAGCCATGTACACCCAGGCAACACCAGGTACCTCAACTAGTCAAGAATAAAGGTTATACAATTGATTATTGAGGCAAGAGGGCCAATAATTTTGTCCTGTGTTAAATTCTTTTTTTCTTTTTTTTTTTGTTTGACATTAAAATGAAAGTTTTGTGGGCATCACTGCACTTTTTTCAAATCCATTCATCATTTGTAAAACAATGCACATGACGTTTTCCTGTGTTTGAGATATTACAGCTATATTTGTGATTATAGAAGTAGGGGGAAATAATTCTGTCCACAACTGTCACTCGCACACACCCAATGATATTAGGCTTAGGTTTATTTTTCTTTATGGCATATCAACACCTTAATGGGTTATTTAATGCTGACAAGATTTTTAGGATAGGTTTGTACAAATTTGTATGAATTCTTTGTAAGAAATCATTTTGTTGATCAGGTTTCATTGATGTATTTTTGTGAATGGGGATTTTTGTTGTAGGTCAAATGTATTGCTAGTAGTAATTTTTTTATTTTTTTTCAAAAATATATTGCTGGTAATTTTTTTTTTTCCCAAAAATGTATTGCTTGTAATAATTTTTCAAAAATATATTGCTGGTAATAACTATTTACCCATAGCTGGGACCCTAACAGGTGCTACCACCCCGGATCAGGGTGGGCTTGGGAACAACAACAATTAAGAGATATTTTCATGCTCCTCAAAACCCTCAGTTCAGAGGACTTGCTGCCGGCTGTAGTTTATTGTCATATCCAGGGCGCCTCATTGAGGGAGTCTTACCCCTCTGCAGAGGTGCAGTCGGCATATTCTGAAACCCAAGCCAATGGCATAGTAATATTGAGGTGTGTTGAAGTATTTTCATTTTTTCACTTTTAATCTGACTTAGTGTTTGCCAACATTTTATGCAAATAAGAAAAATTACAATAACTATCAACTAAATTCACAAAATTTTGGTCAAATATGCCTTTTATGGCGATTTTTTTTTTTTTTTTTTTTTTTTTTTTTTTTTTTTTAAGCATAGCTTAGCTGTAGCACAAGGACAAAAGTATGGGGCACCCAGTGAGGATCGAATCCACTACTCAGTAGTAATTATTCTATCAAAATGAACTTGCTAGCCATTACACCACTTGGAGGACCTCAAATATGTCTTTTATGTATGTGGAATATCTTGAAATCTTAGGTTGCAACATTAAATAGTATTGATGTTTGAATGTAAAAAATATATTTATTAAACTGTTTCCTATTTTTTTTTTTTTTTTATGTAAACATCTCAAGAAACAATGTGAAAATACGTAAGGATAAAAAAAATAAAAGGCAATAATGCAACGATAATTTATTGAAAGAGATGACATCCCAAAATATTGATGCACCAACAAATCAGAAAATGACTCTTATTTCAGTCAGTTATGTGCCATACGTGGTACACGCTTAGGCGATCATGTATCTTTCAATACACAACTGACGAGGCAGTTTCCCCCTCCCCCCCAGGAAGTTGCCATTTCTTTCTCTGGTAGACCAGTTGCCATCCAAGGCTATAGAACCTGGTCTGTGCCGCTAGTTACCCATAGCTGGGAGAAGAAGAGAATTCATACCTTTCCTAAGAGCATTAGCATGTAACTGAATGCAATGCATTCGACTGGAATTCGAACTAGGCTCGCCAATTCCTCAAACTGAGCTGCTATCCATTAATCCACTATGACTCTTAGTTACTGATATAAATACCATTCTCTGTAATGACTTGGAACAGCTTATAATCGACATGTTAATCTGAGAATTTTTTAAAGAATCTTTGTTTTGCAAACAGCTAATATTGCTTCTTCATTTTCATTTTTCAATACAAATTGTTGCCCTCATAAATGCACCTCTTGACAAAATGTTCTCAGTGGGGTATATAGAAGCTACACTATAAGCCTGTCTTTTTCAAACTCAAATTTATCTCAGTGTTCATTAATTGCAGCACGAGAGTACATAAATGAAAATGACTTTTTTGTTTGAATGCTGCTGTTTTCTTTGTAATTTTTATCTGACGGTTGACCTATAGGAATTCATTCTAGATAGATAATGCTATCATCTACCTTCCAGAGGGCAACCAATTCATTATCGATGATTCCCAAATAAAACATAATTCTTTTCTTTGCTGACATCTCATCCAATCAGGCTAAGCTTTCTCCTTCAGACACTATCCATTTCATCAACAGTTGGGCTCCAGTCACTGTTACCCGACACTTGTCCATGAAGAGCACGTTTTTTAGAAATCCAGTTTCATATACTTTTTGGAACAGCTGACATGCTTAATGAGATGTATTGACTTAAAAAAAAAAATAGAAGCAGCAATTTACTTTAGATGGCTTTGTGATGTTTGAGACTCTTTACATTAAATGGGAGTTGATGCATTTCAGTTTGCAATTTGGTTTCAATTTGTCATAATCCTGTATCTTCTTTTCATCAAGTTGCCAACGACATGCAGCAAAAGTTGGAACAAATTTCTTGACTTTTACAATGGTTGCTTGCAAATTTCCAGGGGAAAATGTTAAAACTAGTTACATTCTTTAATTGTTCCCTCAACTCTAATCCTCCCAGTTAAGATCCGCCATACCACGTACACTGAGGCAAACCACCATCATTCCCTTTGCATTGCATTAGTAAGGAGTAAGTTCCACTTGGCTAGCTTCTTTCCAAGAACTGTTGCTTTGTGGAACAGAATCTCAGGAGGACACTTTCCCAACCATTACAATCTTAATTTTTTCAAGTCTAGGGTTAATCGTTGTCTTTCCCACATGTTTGCATAAACTGTACTCCTTACTCTTTCCGCTCTCGCAACAACCATCTTTAGTAACCCTCTGCCTTGAGGGACCCTTGGGTTCTTGTATAGAGTGAACATAAAAAAAAAATTGAGAAATTTGATATTTTTGTATTTTAAGTTCATTTTTATTTCATTATTTACATGTGCACTATTGTCCTAATCTTTGTTGTTATTACAGCATTTCAGCTGTTGTCTCCTCAGGTGCTTGTTAGTCTTTCAGGGAATTTTGAACTGAACATTAGTGGGTGGGGGATGACAAATTTATCAATTTCTAATGTTAAATGATCCTGAAGTATTTTAACAAATTTTTGTCTCTTCCTCATTGTTCAAATGTTCTTTATGGCTCATGTTACTTAAAACTGGAACATTAGCAATGAAGCAATGTCACCAAAATGGCTGCCGTTTGTTTACTGTTATTCAGAACCACATATTATTGGGCATGATTGCACATATTAGTCTTGCCTAAGTTTTGACCCATTTAACTTTAAATACATGCAATCAATAAGAAAAAAAAATTGACTTGTATAAAATACATTGGAATATAGTGTCTGGAACATTCTATATATGGTCTTCTTTTTGATCTTTTGATGATCCAAAATCTGAAAGTTTTCAAGTTCTGTTGGTCAGGTTCTCATTCACTTCTGGGCTTTATTTCAAGAGACAACTAATCACTCTAAGAAAATACTTTAACCAGCTTTGGACAGGAGCAGTATGGTCAGATATTCATTATCCGAGATTAAAAAAAAGTTCTATTTGCAATTTTCATTATATTTTTAGTTTTGGCTCGTGGCATGTTCTCTCTGCAACACCCTATATGACAACTTAGGTTTTGTACAAAAATCTTCATTTAATCCCGAGAAAATTATCTATAGTATGTAGATTTATGAATAGTTATGGTTTGCTGAACTTTGAAGTCAAATATCTCAAAACTACAAAAAGTGCAGATAGAACCTTTTTAACTTTGTCTTATTGTTTAATATCCTTATGCTTACCAAATTCCTGCAAAACAACTTCTGTGGCTCTTGAGACACAGTTTAAAATAATGCTTCAAACTTTCCCAAGTTTTATTTCCATCTCATTCTGACACAAAATATATGGCTGAATTGTATTGATAATAATGAAATATATTGTATAGTCATATATAAGTCTTTAGATGTGTGCATAAAATAAGCTTTGGAGTAGTCTAGAAAACTAAACAAGGATACAATTTATATGTATCCAGGTTGGTCTATAATATCCAAATATTAAAGCAACAGATGTCTTTCCTGAATTGCACCAATTTTGAGATAATTTCAAAATGCCGACTGAACAAAAAATGCAAAAGATGAATGTTTTAAAAATTTCATCTTGAAGCTTTTGATAATTTTGAACAAAATGTAAATGTGAATTGTTTGGAATATGTTAATTTTTGTCTTTTTTTTTTGTCTCTTTCTCTTTCTTTTGTCTCTTTTTTTATCTTTTTTTTTTGTCTTTTTTTCCTTATCTTTTTCCATATCATTTTTTCCTTTTTTTTTTTTTTTTTTTGCCTTATTCTCTCTCTCTTTTTTTTCTTTTTCTTTTCTTTTTTCTTTTCCTTTTTCGTCTTTTCTATTTTTCCCTTTTTCATCTATTCTTTTCCTTTTTTTGTCTATTTTTTCTTTTTTATCTTTTATTTTTTCTCTTTTTTTCCTTTTTGTTTTTTTGTCTTGCTTTTTCCTTTTTGATTTTTTGTCTTGTTTTTTCCTTTTTGTTTTTTTGTCTTGTTTTTTCTTTTTTTTTTTTTTCTTTTTTTTTGTCTTTTTTCCTTTTTTTTTTTTTTTTTTCCTTTTTGTCTTTTTTTTCCTTTTGTTTTTTTTTTCTTTTTTTTTTTTTTTTTTTTTGTCTTGTTTTTTTTTTTTTTTTTTTTTTTTGTCTTGTTTTTTCCTTTTTGTTTTTTTTTGTCTTGTTTTTTCCTTTTTGTTTTTTTTTTGTCTTGTTTTTTCCTTTTTTTTTTTTTTGTCTTGTTTTTTTTTCCTTTTTGTCTTTTTTTTTCATTTTGTCTTTTTTCTTTTTGTTTTTTTTGTCTTGTTTTTTTTTTCCTTTTTGTCTTTTTTTTTCATTTTGTCTTTTTTCTTTTTGTTTTTTTTGTCTTGTTTTTTTTTTCCTTTTTGTCTTGTTTTTTCCTTTTTGTTTTTTTTGTCTTGATTTTTTTCCTTTTTGTCTTTTTTTTCCTTTTTGTCGTTTTTCTTTTTTTACTTTTTATCGTTTTTTTTATTTTTATTTTGTCTTTTTTCTTTTTATTTCTTTTTGTCCTTTTTTTTCTTTTTGTTATTTTTACTTATTTCGATTCACTTCTATTTTTTTCTTTAAACAGTTATATTAAATGTCTTATTGTAAAATACAGATTTGATGCATTTTCCCCCAATTTAAATACACGGGATAATTTGAAAGTTTGTAATTTTTACTAAAATATTTCAATTCTAGTAATTTGTGTGTGTGATATATAATAAATATATAATGATACACATACAGGGTGAGGCAAAAGTTGTGCACCATAGGGATAATTTATTAAATGTATAATTACACATGAAAGTTTTATTTGTTATATGTGCTGTTTAAAATGTCCATCTTTTTCAAAACACATTTCAATTCTATGCCTGCATGATTCATTAACATAGAGAGCTTCATCTGTCATTTTACTGCATTTGTATTTAATTCTTTCTTTAAATTCCTCAATATTTCTTGAGTGCATTTGATAAACAGCTGATTTCAAATTTCCCTACAGAAAAAAAATCCAAGGGTGTGAGGTCTGGTGACCTCAGTGGCCACTCAACAGGACCTATCAAAACATATTAGACATTTAAAACATCATTAATTAATTAACCCCGGTGGTGCATGACTTTTGCCTCACCATATATATATATATATATATATATATATATATATATAATATGTGAAAATATATATAGAAAATAGGAAGGAACTGGTTAGGTAAATAATCCAAAGTCCCTTAGTATTTTAGTTATTATTTTTAAAAAATAGTGCTCGATACAAAAGTAGAGCATAAATATAATTATTTATTTAAAAATACGATTCCAAAACGCTACATAAGAAGTCTCATGTTTCAAAACAAAAAAAAAACTTCAATATAATTATTTAAATTAAATTGAGTTAAAATAAGCTCTGTTCCATCTTCAAGCAAAATTTATCCAGGTAAGATTAAGAATTTAGTCACCTGAGGAGACGCTTTATTATGCATATTAAGTTTGGTTATTAAAACTTACTTATAATTTTATGATGTATACATTTTTTAGCCTCATTGTTTCATTTGTTCAGATATAATTTTGTTGTTCTTGTTCATTTTGAACTGTTCCCATCCATTTTTATTTCAAACATTTGGTTTTTAAAGATGCTTATATTTAGTTATGAAAAGCAGAAATTTCTGATGTTATTTTAATCATCGTTATTTTTATGTTTGTTTTTCGTTTTTTTTTCTTTTCATTCATTTAAAATAATAAAAAAAAAAAAAAAAATCAAATATGCTTGTGATTTGGTTGTCTGTTATTTTTGTAGCATAAATAAAAGAATATATATATATATATATATATATATATATATATATATAACTATTTTAGAGGAAAGGAGTATGACATAGTGTAAGACGTTTTTGTGGGTAGTTGCATCAACATAAACTTATTCTGATAAAGTCCTAAAGAATGATATGGCCATACAAAAAATTTTCCACTTTGTCATATTTCTTTCCCCTTTTTATATATATTTCATATTTTGAGGGTTTTTTTAAGTTCTTTTTCATTTAATATTTTTGTTTTATAATAATTTTTATATTTTTTATAATGTTACTTTTGTTGTTTCATTTTGTAATAGAAATAAATGACAGAAAATGGCACCAAATTAGTTTTATTAAAATTAATTTAGAAAGAATTGTGTACATAGAAGTGACAAAGTCAGTTTTTATCTTCATATGCCAATGTAAGGAAATTTAGCACATGGCATTTTCTTATTTGTATAAAGCCTTAGTAAAAATTGCATGAAGTAACGTCATTTTACATAAAGCCCACTGATTGAGACACAAGGTGGGGAAAAAAAAGTGTATATTTATAATACAAATCTAAAGTTTGTCAGCTGATGTTACTTTCAGCATCCTGACTCAAGATTTTTGTAGATAGACCTTTCAGAAATCACTCTGTCCACTTGTCGGTTTGCAGGGGGGGTATCAGCAATTGACTAATTATAGGGTTGGGTTTTTTTTTTGTTTTTTTTTTCATTGTGTGTGTGTGTGTATCCGTCTGCATGTATATGTGTATACAAGTAGAAAGTCATGCCTCTTTTTGTTGTTTACTTTACACAAACTCCTTATTGTTTCCTTATTTTTTTTCTCTCTCTCTTTTCTTTCAGTTGTATCTGTTTTGACTTCTGTTTTTTTTGGGGGGTTCAGACATACTTTAAACGTTATTTTAGTGGATACCCATGTTTTTGAATAATATTTGAGTTTATTTGTTAAACAGTATATTTTATATATTTTTGTCTATTGGCCTGAATTTTTGAGAAAACTTATTAAAGAAAATTATGCATTCTCCAGTAAGATTTGAATCCGCTTGATAGGGTGACACACTCCATGGCTGAGTCAGTCTAGAGCACTTCAGATTTAATGGCAGTTTCTCCTGCAAAGAACGATGCAGGAGTGAAACTTTTTTTTTTTTATTTATTTTTTTTATTTATTTATTTATTTATTTATTTTTTAATGAAAACAACAAAACGTTTTTGCTAATACATTAGTATTATTTTAAACTATTGTTCTCATCTTGGTTGATATAGATGTTTTTATAGACACGTATTGACCAAGTGCCTTCTGTCATCATCAGTTGCCCATTGGTTGGTTGACATGGGATATCAATTTATTATTGTCATATTCTGTCCCGGTGATGTCAGTTATTGTTTGTTTCTACTGAATTGATGCTTCACTACCTGATCCAGGGGCTTAACTGACTATTATCTGATTGGGAGTTGTGTGCCATGCGTGATACGCGTGTAGACAATCTTTCAATACATGACTGACGAGGCAGATTTTTTTCCCCACAGTAGGTTACCATTTCTTTCTGTGGTAGACCAGTTGCCATCCAAGGCTATAGAACCCAGTCTGTCCTGCTATTTACCCATAGCTAAGGGGGAGAAAAAGAGGTTTCATACCTTTTCCAAGGGTATTAGTATGTAAGTGAATGTAATGGATTCAACTGGAATTTGAACTTGGCTCTCCAATTCCTCAATCCAAGCCGCTATCCATTTATAGTAACACTTGTATAATTAACTCCTATACTCACTATGCCACCATCCTGAAGTACATAAGTGGTGTGTTTTTGGAGCCTCTTATATTACATGTTGAATGGTTTTTGGTATTTTGTTATTGATAATGGGTTCATACAATAGTTTAAAATAATACAAGCATATTGTGAATTACTCATCTCAAACGTTATGATTTGTAAATATGTCATATTCTATTGATTTAATTTTATATACACAAGTTGATTTTTCATGGTATAATAGTAGGTATAACCTTTAGGATTGCCGAGTTAGTAGTAAGTTCGATCCATACTTGTTCCAAACTAAACTTAGTAAATAACAAATGTATAGGCATTGTTGGCTGCCAGTAAAATGGCAAATATGCCATGGGCAATTGATACATGGTCATTTTATTTTTTTCTTTAATAAAGGAGACCATTTAGCTACACCACTTTATATGATGAGTCATTCCAATATCAGGATGCCATCCTACCATCCTGGTGAAGATGGACTTGGAAACCAGGACATTACGGCTGGAAGGCAAGCAGCAAAAATTCTGTGTATCTCTGACTTTCCACTCATTTCGGGGTTTTTTTTCTTCATGCTCCCTGCTCAAATGGAAAAAGAACAGGAAAGCAATTAATTCACTGCTTTTTCTTCTTTTCTTGCAAAACAAACAGATTTCTCAATTTAGACTTCTTAAATAATATTGCTTATTCTAATTGCATACAGTTCGTAAAATCAGTAATTTTATATTACACAAAATTTTTTTTTATCTTGGAAAAAAAAGTCATGCTTTGCATATATAAACCCTTGACCCTTACCCCACTTACTTGAGTAGAAAATTAATTCTGTCTACCAGCCTATCTCATTGAATGTCTTATTAAATAAACTGTACCTCTCAGTAGTTATCTTAAATACTCTTGATTTTCTAAGCCGGTAGATATTAAGATCATTAAAAACTGGTTGCATCAAATGTTTAACAAGCTGGTATGTTACCATAAAAGTAAATTCAATCTGCATAGATGTTTTAATAAATTAAGCTTAGTAAATGTTGGTTGATATTTCGCTGTGGAACAGTATTTAGCAGACTAGCCTTTCAAGAAATTATAACTGTTGGACATTTCTTCTAAACTCTGTACACCGTAATTGCAGTTTACTTTGAAGCTTTGTAATTATTAATGACTCGCAGTAGAGCTCAGGGATGTAACAGTAAGAGATAGATCAAGTATCGACCATCATAAAGACTGAAAAATAAAATTGACAAAGATTATTGTTTAAGGATGATGGACACGCGTGTCTTAATTAGATTTTTTTTTTTCTTATGAATTGGTCAAAACTCAAACAAAAACATTGTTTTCAATCGTTATGAGTCTACCGATTGAATAGAATTTTATTATGAACAATTGTCTTGTAAATGGAATTTTTAAAGCATTCTGAATGTAAAAATAAAGAAAAAGTGTGCAAGACAATAAGAAACACTACCTGCAAAAAAAAAAGTAAAGTTTTGTTGAAAAATGTAGGAAATCCAATCCCCTATATAAACGAACACACACAAACAACATGGGTTTTATAATAAGTATAACTCGATATGAGTTGTCCCCCTTTCATTCTCGTGATGCCTCTTAATCGTGTTTTCAAAATGATTTCGTGCAAAAACAATTGTTTTTCCAATTTTTGGTGCTGTCAGAACCACCGCAAGGTAATTTTACATAGTCCTGTGAAGTTTTGTTGAAATCGGTTGAAAAATGTAGGAAATCCGATCCAATATATAAACGTACATACACACACACACACACACACACACACACACTCTGCATTTTATAATAAGTAAGATGCTTTCTTAGACACCCAAACAAAAATGATTAATTGGTTCTTTCTTCCACTCTCAAGACACGGGGCAATGG